TCTACATTATATTCGCATGCTCTTTGCAAATTTTCAGCTTTGCGAAAACTGTTGCGAGGTGTTGATGAAAAATAGACCTTTGCGCGCATCTCAGCGCCAGGTGTCCCGGAACTGGAACTGCTGACTGTAGCCTAGCTTTGTAGTACTAAAATGCTACTCATTCTGAAAATATGGGCCTTGCGAAAACTCTTGCATATTTTCGACGCCAGCTCCCCGACTATAATGAGGTCAAAGATTTCATCTCATCATCTGTATAATTATTTTCATCATCGAACTTGTTAAAATCATTTACGTTGTTCCGAAGTTGAGATATGAAAGCATTTAATTCGGAACCTTTAAGTGTATAAAGCCTCGTGATACCTCTGAAGCTATTTTGCAAGGGAGCTACCACCAGTTGATCAATAGTCAAATGACCGGGACATATTTTGGAACCACAGGAATGAAAATGTCTTTTCTTACAAATACGTCAACTCCGGCTTTTAAAGGAATACGCTGGAAAGCCTCTTGATTATAAACAATACAGTTATGACGGCGGTTAAAAAGTACCTTGAAAACAGTTGGATCGGGATCTTCAGCATAAACTTGAAGCTCTTCTAAAGTACTTTGATAGCACGTGAAACATATTCGAGAGTTATCATTTGGGTCATCGTCCAGAAGTTGCAGTTCTTGCCTCCGTTTAACCGCCGTGTTTCTAAGCTCCTCATTTTGGACAAAAGGAATTACTTGTCGAGGAGCATTGACAGATTCACAAACATAACAACTGAATCTGAGACGAAATGCCATTTCAAATACCATTAAGAGCACTTATTTTATTAAAATTATATATTAGTATATGTAAATGCTATATCCGTTGGAATAAATAAATGAGAATATGTAAATAAAAATAAATAATTCAACAAAAAAGAAATAATTAATCGAATGCACAAAATATCAGTAACCGTTAATATTCTGACTGTTGCCATCATCACCTAGCAACCAAATAATCGAATGAAATATTTGACAGCATGGCTGACTGGAATAAAGCAGAAGTTTTTTCTTTATAAAGCAGAACATTTTATCCAGAACATTTTGTGAGAAATGCCAAATAACTAATAAAGTTTTTCATATGCAGATAACTTTCAAGTACCTATAGACACCCTGTATTTGGCAAAGTTAAATATACCTGAAAACTGCAACGATCTTTCAAATATTCGTAATTTTGTATAAATAGAAATAAAAAAATATTTCAAAATTATTTATTAAATTAAATCATTTTAAAAGTACCTATTCCGAAAATGATTGAGTCAAAAAAATTGAAATAAAAACGTGTGATACACCCTGTATACAAAATCGTTTAAATGTATTATGTGTGGAAGCATTTATTTATGTAAAAGTATTGTTTCGCCTTAATCATTTTTGCAAAACCCCAAAAAATAGTTTGGTTAGCACATAATTGAAATCGACTATTCAACTTTTTAAACGCCCTGTATCTCAGAAACTAATCATAGGATTCATTTTTGCCTATGGACACATTTGATCAGGACCTCAAGAAGAACAACATACCAAAATTTCATCAAATTTGACCGGGCACCAAAATCCCATAAGATGTGTGCGGGGTCCTTTAATGTGAATTCTATGGAAACTCCGCAAAAATTTCACATCTAATTTTTTTTTCAGAATAACATAATTATTCTACCGAAATTCCACTAAATTATGGAATTCTGAGATTTTAATAGATTTTTGGAGATTCCAAAGGATATTTGGGAATTTTAAAGAAAATATTTTTCAGAAATGTCAATGATTGGGTTTAAAATAACCTATAAATCGAGATTTGATAAAAACATATGGCAACGCTGCTCATGATACAACAAACATCAAAAAATTGAAATATCAAAGTAGGCCTTGGTTTTTTCTGACAGTCGATATAAAATGGCATCTTATTGTTTCAAAGATTACGATCTGAAGAGCCGAAGTATTAAAATCAGTTGACAATAAACGGGTTCGTATAATTCCGGCCCTTCGGACTCGTATAACCTCGGCCCTTTGAGCTCATAATTGAGATAACTTCAACCTTCCAGAATCGAGATTCGAAAAAAAAAACATATGGCGACACTGCTTATAATACAACAAACGTCAAAAAATTGGCCCTGTTTGGCTACTTTTTATACGTATTTGCCGAGGCTAAATCTATACGCCCATTAAAATTTTGACAGCTGTCAATCTCAAAAAAAAATCTTTTGTTTTATCCAAAAAACTAAAGGTCGTTTTTTAGTGGGTTTTAGGGTGAGATTTATGTAACAACATGTAGCAACAGTTGGTACAAAAAATTCAATTTCCCTTCGGGTTTGGAATTCGAATTTTTGAATTTTCCTGGCTCCTGATTGGTTTGGGGATTCGAATTTTGTTTATTCCCGGCTCTTGATTGGCTTTAAAATAATCTATAATTTCGGCCCTTCAAGCTCGAGATTTGATAGAAAAACATATGGCAACACTGCTCATGATACAACAAACGTCAAAAAACTGAAATTTCAAACCTTGAGTTTTTTTGACAATCGATACAAAATGACGTCTTTTTGTTTCAAAGATTACGGCCCGAAGGGCCGGAGTATGAAAAATCAGTTAACAATGAACGGGTTCGTTCGGATAAAACTTTTGACGCACGACACTTTGGTAATATCGACAAATGTCATCTGTCAAATTTGACACATGTTCGACTTTTTCTCCGCTCTACTATAAAAGCTACGAAAATCAAACCCCGATAAAAGGCAGTTTCGCGACGCTAACTATCGATTTGTGTCAAAAAAAATTGACAGCTGTCAACGTCAAATTTTTTTTTTATTATTTTGCGAATTTCGAGAAAAAAAAGTGTTAAAAAAAATTCCAAAAAAAAAAACCAAAGAAAATGACATTCCAAGGCCTACTTGATAAAACTTCAGTTTTTCTCACTTACTCCGTTAAAACAGTGGAAATTTTTGGTGGAAAATGAAGAAAACTCAGTCTCGTACTTTAAATCGGTTTTTCCGACCAAAAAAGCCCTGGAAAAGCGGACAAATTCAAAGAAAAACTTCTAAAAATGACATTCCAATGCCTACTTAATGAAATTTGAGTTTTTGTCACTTACCCCATTGGAAAACTGGGAATTTTTAGCACAAAATGTAAGAAAAGCGGAAAATTCGAGGAAAAACTGGATAGAAATGTGAACACGTCAATTAAAAATTGCCGACTGTCAAAACTGGCAAATGACATTTATTACAAAACCTATTTGAAGTTGGTACAAACGGTGTTGCCACATCAAAACTTTTAAAAAAAACATTTTAAATGGGATTTTGTTATTTATGTCATTTTAAAACTGGACATTTTTGCTAGAAAATGAAGAAAACTCAAAGCCTCGTATGTTAAATTGCCTTTTTCCATTGAAAAGCCTTGGAAAAGTGAAAAATTCGAGGAAAAACTGGCAAAAAATTACAAGGCGTCACTTCAAAATGGCCAACTAAAAGCAACGTTGCCACATCTCATTTCGGAAAACATAAATAACATTTTAAGGGTTTTTGTTTAAAATTCAATTTAATAATTAATTAATAATGATTATAATAATTAAAATTCCCCAAATGAATCATAGGAAACTTATTTTTAGTTTAATTTTAATGAAAATGACATTACAAGGTTTCCTTACTGATTATAGTGTGTAAGACAAAGACAATGATAAAGTAGTATATGTTTGCAAAAACCACCGTTTTCTGAAAAAAGTAAAAATCTTAAGAAAACCAACATTCCAAAGCTAATTTGATAAAACTAAAGTTTTTGAATATTCCCGACTCTTTGATCGGACGCTAAAAATCGCATTTTAAATACTCCCGGTTTTTGATTGGCTCCAAATTATCCGCTGACCAATAGAATTATAAACTAGGCCCAGTGATTAAAATAACTCTAGCCCTTCGGGCTCGCGTATAACTCCCGCCCTTCGGGCTCGCGTATAACTCTAGCCCTTCGGGCTCGTATTACTCCTGCCCTTCGGGCTCTCATATAACTCCGGCCCTTCGGGCCGGTATTACTGAGTATCCCAGATTCATAGATATTTGTCATGGAGGCGCGGTATTGATTGAAATAATGTTGTCAAACTTTTCTAAATTTCATTGAAATATCGAAAATTGGAAAGTGTAATTTGTTAATTATTATTTTAATTAGAAATCAGGAATAAAAAATTGAGATTGAATTTTCAATTTTTTAGGGGAGGATTAGTTTCCCCTGCCTCCTCTAACGAGCCGCCACTGTCTAGATTCCAACATTTTATAGATTCTTTATTCCAATGTATAGAACTAACTTTGCATATTATAACAACTTCTTGTCCAGGGTTTTTAGGTTGACAGTTTCTCATGATCAACTAATATTTTCTACATTCACCAATTTTCACAAGCAGTTTGGGGTCAATTCTTGTGACAGTTTAATTTCCATGATTTTTACATTGAGTAAATGCCTAAAAGATTCATAGGTATTTTTACTGTTATTGAGTTTTGACCCGTTAAATTGCTAAATAAATAAAACACCACCGTAGAAAAAACGTTTAGCATAAAAATATCAACTTTTAAAATGTACAGTCTAAGGATATATGCTTGCTTAACCACAACTAGAGCAACTAGATCATAAATTGAATCCACTACTTACCTACACGAAAATAATAATAATACCTAATAAAAATCATAACAAACAATAAAAAAAACCTACCCAATGGGATTCCTAGGTTGTTCGAGATCAGTTACTTGCCAAATTAACAGGTGCGAGGCTCCGTCTCTGGGTTCGCAATCGTCTTCTGTAAACATTTATCGTAGGTTTCTTGATTCATTCGATTTTTTGGGTTAATAACATTAGAAGCACAATTAATTAAAACTAATCTACCCAGGAATCCCATTTCGCGTGCAGAAAACTTTAAAAAAGTACAAAGACTGATTTTGAGGTTAGTAACATGCATATTCTCTTTGTAACTCAACATCACCCATCAAAGACCCAGCTATTCATTAACTTACCAACTCTAAAATCCACATAACCCTCTCCACCCGATATCACTAGCATAGAACTAGACGGCTGCTGATGCGATTTACTAGTGCCTCCCATCAACGAGGTAACCGAAGCTGACATAGCCTCTGAAGGTGTAGAGGCAGCACTACTAACAGTAGCACCTCCGTGTCCCGGTACAGCGACGAAAAATTTCACATTGTCCCTGTGACCGTGAAAACTAAGCTGCGCGTGCGCCATCGTACAGTATGGAACGTAACTGCCAGGAATTGTAGCCGGTACTAAACTATTACCACGCGGCACTAGCGTAGTAGAATTCGTCATGGAGCTACCGTCGCTTAACGGTACTGAAATAATCACCCCGTTGCTGGTACCGATCCATAAACGGTTCGAGGATATGAGCAGGCTGGTGATGCGCACTAAAGAGAAACCTAGTTTTCCGGTGCCCAACATTTTGCTGACGTATGGTTCGATATCGACGTCTTGCAGGTGCTGATAGGTGTGGGCGTGGTACAGACGTAGGGTGGAGTCTAGACGGATCGAGACCCAAACGCCTTCGCCTAGCCAGGCCATTTGACGAACCTGCAATGGTAATTAATTCACGGCTATTAGGTACCTATCTAAAATTTTTTGTGAAAACTATTTTTTGTGAAAACCTCAGATCAACCGCTACTTTTATCTTTGACACCTAGTAACATGGAATCTCAGAGGTCAATCCTTAACTGTAATAGTACAATAGTAGCTGTGTTAGTAGTAAGAAAAGTCTAGTTTTAGTACAGAAAGTATTATCAAATGGTACATCTGTGAACGTGTTAGAACCACAAACATATTTGAATGACCCTGACAGTAAAACTCAAATTATTCAGCAATTACAGGGAGATTTTTTAGGTCAAACAACTCCAACTCCAAGCTCTGTTAGAATTATTACTTTAACAGAGCTCAAAATTGCAATCAGGAAAAGCAGGTATCTGTATTTTTATTAAATATTTAATCCCTACGAAACAAAACTGATGATTTGTATCTATTTCTTGAAAACAAAAACTTTCCGGACATATTGCTTCTAACTGAGCATTGGTTGGCAACAAATGAAACGTTTTCTATAACGGTGTTTAAATATTGTTGAAGTACAAAGAGTGGTGGAGGTACTGCTATTCTCATAAAGGATGAATATTTGAAGTCCTCTGGGGTTATTGCTTTTTCACACTGTGACATCCTTATAGTGAAAAGTGTTTTTGAGTTTTCGTTTGTATATTTTGTGCATTTACAGACCACCATATTCGTCAAATTTGAATCAATATCTTGAAAATCTAGGAACCGTTTTAATGAATCTGTTGGGTGGAGATCTAAATATAACTTATGATGATGATAAGTCAGAAACTACACAGATGTTATGCAGTTTGTTTTTATCGTTTGACCTGCAAATGTATGTACAGCGACCAACTCGAATCACTGGATCCAGTGAGAGCAGGACTGACTATTTATGTTCCAGTTTCAGGCTGAAGGATGTTTTTGTGAGTTGCGAAGTAATGCCTGTTGGATTCTCGGATCATGAAGCAATATTGGCTTACTTTAGGTTGATTTTTAATGAGAAAAGGAAGCATAAGTTAGGCAGGTTGTATAGTCGTGAAAACTACCGTAGGTTTAAGTCTGACTCTGAAAGTTTTAGCTGGTGTAAAATCAACAGAAAGAGTTGGGTGACAAAGGGTATCAGAATTTCTTCAAGACATTTTAGATCCCTTCAAATAATAAAAAATTATAAAAATAATCCTCAAATTGCCAAATACAAATTAACTTACAAAAACCTAATCAAAGCTGCAAAAGATAAGTTCTATCAAGACCAAATTAAAAATTCGAATAACCCAACTAGGGAGACTTGGAAACTTGTGAATCAGTTAGCAGGTAGGAAAGTCAAAGGTTAATGTAAATGTTAATATTCTTAATAGTTTTTACTGTCTGGTTGCCAGTAACTTACAATCTGATATAAAAAGTATCATAGATCCTTTTTCGTACTTATCTGATATAAAAATAGATGGTGACGGAAACTGACAAGCCCGAAAATTACCGCCCAATATCTTTCTAAGGTGGTAGAGAAATTGGTAAAGGGAAGAACGCTAGAGTAAGTACCTAAATAAACGTAATATTTTAATTAATTTTCAGTTTGGTTTCAAGCCATCCAAAAGCACTCATAATGCAATTTTCAATCTTTTGGATAATGTTTTTACCGCCTTGAACGAGGATGAAGTGGTCGCTAGTCTTCTGCCTTCGAATGTGTAAACCATGTTATTAGAGTTGCGAAGGTAAAATTACCAGTATTTTACATAAAATTACGTAATATTACCCATATCTCGGTAAAATTAATAAGATCGGTAAAATTGGACGTAAAGTCGATAAAATTACGTGATAGAATTATAACCACGGTTGTCGAAACAGTAGAAACTTCAAAATTATTAGGAAAACCAAGGATGTGCGATTTAAAGTTGTCTCTCTTTATTTTGAAAAATAGAAAGAGAAAGCAGTAAAATTGAGAGTAAAGAATGTCGACAATCACAGACAATGGCCATGTTGATTTCCGCGCGTTTGTCTCTCTGTCTCTGTATCAGAAGATAGACAATAATATCGATATTAATTATTAAACAATATTAGAATATAATAAGTACAGTAGAACCCCGATTATCCGAGCTCTGGATTAACAGAGCCAATCTAAAGACCCTGATTATTCAAGGTAAGCGCGTCTATGCTTCGTATTAACCGAGCTTCTAAGATATACATGGTGGATGGCGTATTAGACGTTTATGGAGAACTAAAAAGCGAATCATTTTGAAAATTTGGCAACCGGGATAAACGACCATGATCTACACTTTAAAAATATTTTTGACCATGCGATGTTGCCGCTTCTACTCTAAACTAGTGGCAACATCACTATTTTAAATGGAACACCCCGTATTTAATTGCATATTTGGATTCTACGTAAAATTCTGAGCAGATTTCATGTGATATACCCTATACCTAAGTTCAACTGTTTTGGAAATATTGACAGTTGAAAATTGACTTTTTGCAACTTTGACAGGCTGTAAAACCTAATTGGTTAATTTTAGAGGAAAACCAATTTCACCATCCTGTCTTAGATTTTGATAAACTATCATTTAACACCAACTTTGAACTTAACCAGAGATTAAATTTAACTGAAATTTTTAATCATGGATTTAATTCTAAGTTGGTGTCAAATGATAGTTTATAAAAATCTAAGATAGGAATGTAAAATCGGTTTTCCTCTAAAATTAACCGTTCAGGTTCTACAGCCTGTCAAAGTTGCAAAAAGTCAATTTTCAACTGTCAATATTTCCAAAACAGTTGAACTTAGATATAGGGTATATAACATGAAATCTGCTTAGAATTTTACGTAGAATCCAAATATGCAATTTAATACGGGGTGTTCAATTTAAAATAGTGATGTTGCCACTAGTTTAGAGTAGAAGCGACAACATCGCATGGTCAAAAATATTTTTAAAGTGTAGATCCCGGTTGCCAAATTTTCAAAATGATCCGCTTTTTAGTTCTCCATAAACGTCTAATACGCCATCCACCGTGGGACACCCTGTATAGTGTACCATCGTCACCAAAAGTAAAAAGCAGGTCTTGTACTATTATATGATTTTTAGTGTCAAACTATGCATAAAATAAATGATGGTAGAATTAGTCCAGAAGAATATTATGAATTATTTTTATCCCAGATACTTTTGGTGACGATGGTATATACATATTTCCATTCAAAATCGTCGGGGATGACGAGGAATCCTCTTTGCCCGTGTGAGTGAATCCCCTATTTATGTTTTTTGACATTTTTCACTTTTTTAGCATGAAGATTTGCTTAAAACCGGATTCCCAGTTTTCCAGTAACCTGCGGAAGTTGCCCCACCACGTTACCTCCGACAACCGGAGTTCTACTGTAATATATTTCAAATTTTAATTTTACACAAACACAAGAATGTTTAATTTATTTCTCAAAAAGATTATCTTACCACCATCAGTAGGTATTCTATAATTAAAATCTATGTTACATATTGCATCATTGTAAAATCACCAATAGGGAATTTTCATATTTCTCAAATTATTTTTTTTTAGATACTTCTAGTGATCAGTTATTAGTGTTATTACATAGTTTTCTTTTTTTCCATTTTAATTTATACGTTGTACGAAAAAAAAATTATTGAAATTCAAATGAAATACTTTGGCGCGAAAACACGAAATTTCAATTTGACAGCGCTTGTGACGTTGAGATTTTGTAAACATAAAATACGCAGCAAACAAACTCTTGCTGACGCAGTGCTATTTTTGTGTTATTCAAGTGTGTTAAAGTTTGCTTTTTGTGAAAATTGTCGCAATGGATGAAGAATATTGTGAAGGACTGCTTTTGTATTTTTTTTACGTGCAAATTCCCTATCACAGATTTCCCTATTGACGGGTTTGTTTACAGAATCGTGACGTCAAAACAGGTATTCATCATAGGAGCATTTTTTTGGCGGGAAAATTTTTATTTCAAATTTAATATTATTTTTTGTGTAACAAGGGCGGTATCAGTTAAATAAAAACTGGTCATATGAATATTGTGCAGCATAAACTATCGATTTAAAACAAATTTGGAAAATTTTACTTCACTTGCAAGTTCCCTATTCAATTTTACCAATTTTACCGGTAAAATTACGTGAAATTACCGGTAATTTTACCGAAATTTATTTTACCGGTAATTTTGCAACTCTACATGTTATTATGTTGAGAAAACTACATGTTTATGGCTTTAGAGAAGTTCCCCTTATGTGGTTTAATTCTTATTTTTCAAAAAGACCTTCACCTAGATACTCAATACTCAATCATTCGAAAACAAGTCCACCTGGAAGTTCCTAGGAATTCATATTGACACTTAAGAGGCCAACAACAAATTCAAGCGCGCGAAATTCATTCTTTGTCGCCGAGTTCAAAGTAGGACCGTGATAGACGACGTTACGGCAAATATTTCCGAGATAACGGAAGGGTGTGATCAAATTGCATGGAAGGTGAATAATAAATCCTATGGGCTTTTGTGGAGGCAAAACTAATACACCTATCATATTTAATATAAATTAAAAAGTATACAGTTATAATAATAGTTTTATAATTTACATTGTGCTTTTTATTTAACAAATAAGAATGTGGAGAATGAAATGTGCGGAAACACAATAGTACATTAAAATATGTCTATCAACTTAGCGAGACAACTTCGAAAAATCGATTTTCCGTTATGCCAAGAATTTGCCGCTTTTTTGCCGCTAATTAAATGTGGAATTAAAAAATTTGCCGCTCTTTTGGTTTTTTCTTAATTACGTGTTTTGCTAACTTGACGTCAAGATAGCGAGACAACATCACTAAATATGTCAGCAGTAGAAAATTAGGTAGATGAAAATTTGCCGTTTTTTTGCCGCTAATTAGTTGTGTAAACCAAAAATTTGCCGGTTCTTTTTTTTTCCATAAATAATCAAGTTTGAAAAAAAAAATCATTTGTTTCGCTAACTTGACGTCAAGTTAGCGAGACAATATCACTAAAAATG